CACTTAAACTTGTGTCAAACTGTATTATATCTACAATGTAGATGCACCCTTGCTTTCCAGAAAGCAGAGTAGGAGAAGATCTCTAGAATAATCACTCATGACTTCATTTAAGATTGCTTCTCCATGTGCCACAGAGGATGTATCGTCTTAGGATAAAGTGACAAGTCTGAAATGGTTCCAAAGAATTAAAGCACTGGATTCCACAGAGATCTGGAAAGAAACAGACTGTTTCTTTGACTCAGCACAGGATCACCTCTTAAAGGTTTGGGCAGTTTGCACACACATTATAAAAAGGTAAGGTATGAGTGAATAAAATTCATGAATACTGCAGCATTTCTCCCTTGCAAGTTGTATAAGGTGACATTAAAACTCAATTTCAAACAGTGCCATACTAGCACTCCTGTGCTTGGGCAATGCAGCTCTCTCTCCATTGATGGGTTATTTACTCATACATGCTTATCCCTGGATAATATAGTTGAACATGCAACTTGCTTCCATTGAAACATCATTGGGATGAGATTGGCATTGAGCAATATGGCAGCTCTTTCTTATGGGAAGAATATACAATAGCATGCAAGTCATCACTAGATGGTAAAGTAGAAAGATTCAAGCCTTTTTAGGAATATAGGGACATCTAGCTTTTTGTTTAAGTGCTGTGACTACAACAAGAAAATGGCTTTTGTAGGCAGTGTGACTATCCACAGCATATTCAAAGACCTGGGTTTAAAATTCTGCTCAGCTGCTTAAGTTCGTCAAAGGACCTTAGTTCTGTTAGTGTTCTACATCTAACCTACCTTCTGGGTTGTTGTGTAGATAAGACAGGAGGGAAAGAAACACATATAACATTTTAAATTCCTAACTAATGAATATATCTGGAGTTAAGAACCAAGGTATTTGGGCACTCCTGTGTTTGTAGCATGTCTTTCTTCTTTCGTCATGATACCACACTAAAATACATTGATTGGAAAGTCACTTACTTTATCAGCAGCAGGTTCATCCAGCCTTTGCTGCTCAGAACACAAGCGACAAACTTTTGCCATTAACTCATAAGGATGAACAAAAAGCCGAGAGCTGAGCAAGAAGGTAAATATATATGTTCTCTGCAGGCAAGAAAGAAAGAGAAGATATACTTCTTACTTCACAGATGTGTGTTCATGTTTTATTAAGCAGAGGACAATTTGTTGCATTATCTTGGGAGAGCTCCTAATACTGTAGAGGCAAGCATTAAAGCTTAATTGCACCAAATGTCATTGTTTTCAGAATCCACTTTTGGACATTCTAGTTATGCAAGGTTAGAACAACAGACAGGGCAGGGCACATCATTCAACTGAGTGCCGACAATCCTTGAGCAACAGAAGAATATGCAGGTACTCAATGCCTAAGAACTGCTTACTATGCAATATCAGAACTTCACAATTGGAATTAGAGCTTTAGATTTCAACACAGGCACACCTACAGAAGAAACACAGTATTTCTGTATCAGAACATTTGGCAAGTTATTTTAGTATTAAAATGTTAAACAGTGATTATACAAAACACTAAACTAGACAAGCATGAAGTGTAATGAGCAACTGATTCTTCAGTATAAAACTGATCATCACTAAACTTTAATGAAATAGACTTGTCAACATTTTGACTTTGCATTTTCTCTTTTACCTCTCAGTGTACAAACTATATTGCAATTTTTAACATCTCTGAATGCTACAATCTGTACAAGTCTGGGATTTTTCCAGTTTGTGGCCCTCTGGATGTCACTGGACTAAATTCTCCATCAGTTTTAGCCAACCATCTTGTCCACCACTGCTACAGCTCAGGCTTCCACATCCAAATCAGACATACTGCTCTCTGTTATACTGAGCAAGTCCAAAGGTTCCTGCAACAAATAACTCCCAGAGTAGCCTACCTGGGAGGGATTATGCCAAATTCCATATTTTTAATTCTCCAAATTATCTGTTATATGTTTGTTTGTTTGTTTTTTTGCCTGATGATACAAATATACTACAGCCTTCTCTAACTTGGTACCTTTCAGATATAGGAGCCTTTATGGGATACTGGGATTTGAAGTACCAAATATCTGGAAGGCACCACGTTGGGGGAAGATGGTATAATATAACCCTTTCTACAACCTTCCAGGATGGAATGTTTGTTGTTCTGTTACCACCAGCAAGTTCAATTGTGGGATGGAAAATTCCAACAGGCTATAGAGTGTGTCTTTCTCATGTGGGTTTTCAACAAGGGTGTCATTTAGTTTATTACACAGCTTCAATGCACTGACATGAATCAGCCATGAAAGA